GGCATACAAGACAAATAAATAAATAAATAAATAAAATAAATAAACTGGGTGCCTCGGTTGGGAAAAGCTCTAATCCAATCAGCCAAAGTTTGCCTCACCTCAAGATAATCAAGAGGCAGGAAGGTCTCAGGCTCTCCTCGCTGCTCTTTGATGTACTGGATACAGTCCCGGCCAGTTTTCTCTGAATCAACAATGATGGCGTCCATATTCTTGCCCAGCACCTTTGTGACAGCTATCTGGTATTTTTTCTGGGTGGGCTGGCAGAGGTCGATTAGTCGTCCGTACTGGGGAAAACAAGGAAAGGAAATGAGGAGATAGGCAGAGGAAATCACTCCAACCTCATTTTTATCCCGGAACGCGAAGCCCACACCCAACCCAAGGAGCTTTGGGGGCTTGGTTCTGAAGCATTGCCTACCACAGAGCCTGGGTAGAGACGTTTGATGCTTTCCATAATCTCTGCTTTGCGCTGCTGCCGACTGTTTTCCTGCCGGTCGATCCGGGCATCCCCCAGCTGTTCCATCACCTGATTTAACTCCTTATTGATTTCATCAATGCGGCGTTTAGCCAGTTCAACTTCCTCTGTCAATTCTCCCTCCAGCTTCTTTTGCTCTTCCAAGGACTGCCTAAAGGAGAAGGAAAAAGCAGCAGTTACTGAGTTCTAGGCACTCTTAAGCTCCTCTTTACCAAGGCGACCCTTTTAAGTCAGCTTAAGGTGGCGCAGTGGCACGAGTGCAGTACTGCAGGCCACTTCAGCTGACTGTTATCTGCAGTTTAGCGGTTCTAATCTCACCAGCTCAAGGTTGACTCAGCCTTCCATCCTTCCAAGATGGGTAAAATGAGGACCCAGACTGTGGGGGGCAATATGCTGACTCTAAACCGCTTAGAGAGGGCTGAAAGCCCTAAGAAGCGATATATAAGTCTAACTGCTATTGCTATTGCTAAGTCAAACTCCTCATTCCTTTCCATGCTGGGATTCAAACGCCTGCCCATATTATTACAAGGATTTTGGCTCTTCCTGACCCTTACTTGCTAGTGGCAATGTACTCCTCCAGCTTCTCAATCCGCTTCTGGTTTTCTTCAATTTCTCGCAACTTCTGCTTTATCTTGGCCTATGGAAAAGATTGAGTATGAAACACATTAGCAAATACCAGGACAATATCCATCAGTATCTACATGGGGTTTTGACCCCTTTGGATGAGAACTATCATTATAAGCTACATCAAAAGAATAAGAGGAGAATCAAGAATATTTAATCGTGTCTTTCTCAACCTAGTATTTCTAATTGTTTTAGACTACTGGGCCCTCCAATATCCGCCTGACAGCTCCGTGTGCCTTGGATTACAACTCCTTAGCCAGATCATAAGTATGATGCTCCCTGATGGTGATAGGAATAGTATTCCAATTTACTTGGGCAGCACCAGATTGGGCAGTTACAATTAAAGTGGGTCCTATCAAAGGTATTATTTTATCCTTTTATGTTGGCAAGAAATAAATGGAACAAAAGGATGGAGCAAATAAGGACAACAATGGAGAAAATGCCATAAAAGGTATATATTATAGTGTATTACAAGATACTGTCAAACATCCTTGGGAATCTGCTCAAGCCAATTCATCATTCTTGCAAAAACTGGGACACAGTTCTCAACAGATGCTGTCGCAGCATGATGTGGATTCTCTTCATGCTTCCTCATCAACTATATCTACTTTTGGTACTTTCCTCCAAAGCCTACGGGTTCTGCATAGTTCTGCAGAACATTGAAGGCTGGAATGTTTGAAACTGGACATCAAATTCTTTTAAGAGCTAGCCAAAACCCTACAAATCACTATGTGCTCAGCTGCTCTATTAACAGTGCCTCAGTGACATTGGCCTAATTAAGACTGACCTACATTCAGCCTTTTCATGCTCTCAAGGTGGGCTGTCACTCTCATTTTTACCTACTATTTCAAATTATGTGTGGTACATATGCAAGTACAAGCAATTCATCCAACTTGTCATGTTTGGAACACCTGGAAAGTTAGCACAACTTGGAAAACCACAGAAAGCAGATTTTAGGGCAACAATATATGCGTAGATTCCATGGAGCATTTTATGGGGATGCAGGAAAGAGATAATAAAATAAGGCACTTGGGAGGCATTCAGTTCCCTTTCTTCCCTTACTCTCCTAATTGTAAAGCTAGACTTCAGGCCTCAGAAATAATGCTATGGCTTTAATTAAAAAGATCTATGAATGTGCAGAAATGGACAGAATGACGNAACTGCAGAACTGCAGTCAGCTGAAGTAGCCTGCAGTGCTGCATTTAACCACTGCGCCACCTCGGCTCATCTAAACAGAATCTAGTTCCAGCAAGTACTTGTCATACCTGAAGATTGAGAGCCAGGTGACGGGTCTTGGTTTGTTCTAAATCACTCTGGGAGTATTTCAAGCGCATCTGCAAGCCATGGGCCTGTGACTGGACCTGACGAAGCTCTGCCTCTTTACGCTTAGCCTTCATTTGTTCCTGGCGTAGAGAGATTTAATGACCCAAATTATACACATCCAAAACAAAAATGAAATGCAAAGACTGAGCTAAGGCAAAGAAGCGGTTAGACGTCAGGAATAATATCTGGACAATTAATAATGAATCATATAATAAATCATAATCATAATCAAAATAAAAACCAATTTCTTTTTTCTTGCAGTTGCATGGCAAGAGGAAGTGCACAGGGCCTCTAAGCCACAATTATGGTTTACTGTTAACAATACAGAGTCAACATTTTCTACAGTTAATATTTTTAACTGACTATAAAAAGGCACTGCACCCAATTACCATCAGAAGGAATAAAAATGCATCTAATGTTGGCTGCAGATTTTGAGGCCAAACTTTTCCATTGAAAACACTTTCCATAGAAAGCGTTTCTTGAATAATCTGTCATATACCAAGATGCAGTTCGAAACCTTCAGAAGTCCTCTACCCCCCCCCCGTCAAATTCTGCCCATTTGACGTTATGAGACAGGCAGACAGCCTGACGCCTTCTGCAACTCAAAAGCAGGTCCAACCTTAAGTTCCTCCGTCAGTCTCTCTTTCTTCTCCTTCAATTTATCCACAGCTTTTTCATCCCAGCGCCTGGCTTTGGCTTTCAGATCACTGGCCCCTCCTGAGATCACCCCCGACTTCTGGAACAGGGTTCCATCTAGTGCCACTGTCTGCAACAGAAGCAAGGAAACGAAAGTGAGAGAATGGAAAACATAGGGTAGCACTTCGCAACAAAGAAACAAAAAATGAGGATTTGGCTGACAGAGACCCAGGTAGCAAAGGCTGAGAACCCAAATTTCTCTAAAGATACTCATCAAAGGACCTGGCAAAAATGATTCTGCATCTCTGTACAAACACAAAATAGGGAACAGAGAACAGGATTCATCATCCTGTTTTACGTCGTGGCACGACATAACCGCAAACGTCAAAAGCGCGCCGACAACACCGCGGCGCTAAAACCGCGATGTCAAAAGCGTGCCCACAACAGCGCGCCCACAACAGCACGCCGACAGAAGCGCGATTTAACTTAAGGTAAGGTTTAGGGTTAGGTTTAGGTTTAGGGTTAGGTTTAGGTTTAGGTTTAGGGGTAGGTTTAGGGTAGGTTTAGGGTAGGTTTAGCGTTAGGGTTAGGTTTAGGGTTAGGTTTAGGGTAGGTTTAGGGTAGGTTTAGCGTTAGGGTTAGGTTTAGGGTTAGGTTTAGGGTAGGTTTAGGGTA